TTCTGATGTTCTTGCTAGCGAACGGCAAGGACATGGATCCTGAACCTAAAAAAATCGCCACATTTTTATGGCTAGCCGGACCTAAGGCAGCAGAACTCTACGACACACTGTTCCCAAACGATGGTACCACAAACGGAATAGTTGGTGATCAGACGGGTTCAACAGAACGACAAACATCATCGGGCACCCGTACTCTCGATGAAGTTCTGCAGTCATTCGAAAACTTTTGCATTCCTAAAAAAAATCCAACTATGGAATCGTTTAAATTCAACAACATTAAGCAAAAAGAAAAGCAGTCATTCGCAGACTTTGAGACCGAATTACGCAAGCAAATACAGTATTGTGAGTTCAAGTGTGAGTGCGGTAAATCGTATGAAAACCGCATGCTGATTGACCAAATCGTCATCGGTGTCAGCGATAAAAAATTGCAATAGAGGTTGTTGGACACAAAAAACGAAACACTGCCCGAAATAGTGGACAAGTGCAACACATTTGAAGCGGCACACAAAAACAAATCCTTGCTGGACAAGACAATCGTGCATCAAACAGTGTACTCCGCGGAATGTGACATGTCAGAAGTTAGCGCTATTACACGTCGTTGCTTCAACTGCGGCTCGCTTTTCATACCCGGTCATCTTAAAGATTGCCGCGCACGTGGAATCAGTTGCCATAATTATGGACTCCAAGGCCATTTCAGCAAATTCTGCAAGCAGACAACGTCCAAGCCAGAGAGTGGATTCAAACCGAAGAACTTGTCAGCGAAGCCAAAGAAGTTATCAGCAGTCAACTGGGCCGATGAATCAGGTAACAGTAGTGGATTAGTTGACGGGGTTGCAGGTGTATTTAGTAACAAAAACTTTGGTGACAGGTAATAAGGTCAATGGAAATAAGGTCAATTGACTTTATTTCCCACCCTGGTGCGAAATAAAGTCAATTGACATTATTACCTTTTCAAAAGCGAAATAAAGTCAACAAAAATTTGGAAATAAAGTCATTGACGCTATTTCCTCATTCAAATGGAAATAGCGTCAACAATGCTTAAAGTATGTCGATTCATAGAAAAAAATGTTGTTCTTACAATAAACATTGCCTCGTAAGTGTTGTTTTTTAATAGATGAAAAAGGATTTTGCCAAATTCTCAGTTTTGTTATATTAATCCACACACAATCATGAACTACCTCCAATTGATTCTATTACAAAAAGAATATAAATTACGAATATGTAAAAACACGATGCGAAAAACTAAACTCCTGCGTACAGCTGGAATACGAGAAATATTTGAAGAAAGAGTGGAGAAATGATCCATAACATGCAAAACATTTTTCGTTTCTACAAAAATAAAGCGAACACTATTAAATTGAAGAAACAGTACATGTCCAAAAACCCCGGAGGAGCACTGAAAAAATTCTGTGTTTTAAATTAGCATATTTTGAACGAATTCGGAATGTCTAAGGTGGAAAAGAACCCAACCTTTCTATAAGGAAACAATTTTCTTACACTGTATTTATGTCTCCGCCAGCAGTCATTTAAAAGCAGCTAAGGAGAACGACGACACTATTTATTAGATGGCACATTCAACGAGCCAATGTGCCAAAATGCGGGTATAAACAATTATTGATTATTTAATATCGGAACCGAGATCATATAAGTTAATGGATTGGTTTTCACACACTTTTGAAACACAAATTATATGTTTTTTTACTGCAGACAAGTTGTTGCCTCAAAACACAGCAGAAATCTTCCAATCAGGGCTGCCAACTCTCCTTAGTTTTGAGATGCCATATTGAGGATAAAAAAAGTGCCAAAATGTGCCAAATAGAAAAATAAAAGTGCCAAAAAAGCTGTAATTCCTTTTAATCATTCACATTTAGCAATAAAATAAAGCCTCATTTTCAAAACAAAAGTGCAATGATAAAATAAGATAAACCAGTTGAATAGCCTTTATAAATTGGAAAATTTTAGTTGAGAAAAAGAAGTGCACGCAAAGGATTTCACAAAAATGTATTGAAATGTTATTTTTTTTACAAAAGTGCCATTTTGGCATTTTGTGCCAAATTGAAAAATTAAGTGCCATTTGAAATAAAATAGGAACAAATGGCACGGTTTGAGCCAAGTTGGCATCCCTGCTTCCAATAACTTACAAATATAAAAATGTGAAACATCGAGGGCTTGAATTCATTAATACCCTCTATTTGCAATTTGCACAAAAACTAATTTGTGATTTTAGAAACCATCTGGGACTTATTACCTGTCGTTATATAAGGTAGCATTAATATCACTGATGACAGTTAAAGCTTAGGTGGATTTTTATATCAGAATCTCATCTTTGTGAAAAGTGTGCAGATAGGGGGTATTATTGAATATAAGCCCTCGATGTTTAAAATATATACAAATTTTATTTCAACGTATACAAAAAATTAATCTACCTGCGCTACAGCACGTCGGGAGACGGGGAGGGGGGGCCGGGGGGCCCGCGGCGTAGCGTGACGCGGTGTGCGCGCCGGTCGCGCGGGGTACGCGGGGCGCGAGCGGTGTAGCGCGCTGACGCGGCCCGCCGCGAAGCTAAGCAAATTTAATGTTTGAAAGAGAAATAATGTCAATTGATTTTATTTCGTTTTTAAAAAGGTAATAATGTCAATTGACTTTATTTCGCACCAGGGTGGGAAATAAAGTCAATTGACCTTATTTCCGTTGATCTTATTACCTGTCACCAAAACTTTCCTTGTAGAATAAGTCGTATTGGGGTAAGCAGAGCTAAGTGGACAAAGGAGTATCACATAGGAAACCAATCCGTAGTTTTTAAGATCGATACTGGGGCCGATGTCAATTGCGTCCCGATCAAATTAATATCAGCCTTGAAGTTGAAAATTGCAAACAGGAATACGAACTATTCTGTGTATGACTATAATAATAATAAAATTAAAATTTTTGGTTCTGTTGAATTAAACTGTGTTGACCCAAAAAATAAAACGAATAAACGATCAATATTTTTAGTTGTGGATAACAATTGCGAAGCGATATTGGGGTTAAAAACAGCTGTAGATTTCAATTTGGTCAAACGCTTAGACATAGATTCGGTTGTATGCTTGCCTCAAACAATAGAAACACTTTTAGAGGGAAATAGGGACGTGTTCGAGGGGTTAGGGAAGTTTCCTCACAAACAAACAATAGTTTTGAAAGAAAATGCGGAACCGGCACTACACTACAAAAAACGCATTTCCCACAGTCTGCTTGAACCTTTGGAAAACCAAATAAAACTATTGACACAGGATGGTATTATTACACCGGTAACATACCCTACGGATTGGGTGAACAATTTGCAGATAGTGGAAAAGTCGAATGGGAAAATAAGACTCTGCTTAGACCCAAAACCATTAAACCGCGCAATTAAGCGTGAGCACTTCCTGATCCCAACAATTGATGACTTTATCAGCCAAATGGCTAACAAACAATTTTTCACAGTTCTCTACTTATCCAATGGATTTTGGCAAATGGAGTTAGATCAAAAAAGCTCTGATCTAACCACATACATGACTCCCTTTGGCCGATTTAAGTTCAACCGCGTACCGTTTGGCATCAACAAGGCACCCGAAATGTTTCAGCGTAATATGATGCAGATATTCGGTGATATACCAGGTGTTGTCGTGTACTTCGATGATATCTGCATAATGGGTGAAACCGCGGTCGAGCACGATAAAGCGCTGTCGATGGTCCTTGAGCGGGCGAGGCGAAATGGGGTAACATTTAACCCAGAAAAGGTTCAATATCGCACACAGCAGGTGGAATTTATGGGTCATGTGTTATCGTACGGTCAGGTAAAACCAAAAAGAAAATACTTAGAGGCAATTCTGAAGATTAAAAAACCTGAAAGTAAATCGGACGTTCTTCGGCTACTGGGTCTTGTGAAATATCTCGCAAAGTTCATACCAAATTTATCG